ACTTACTACGTGTATCATCTTGACCAATACAAACAAAAGCTTGGATATTTTTATGTATATTGATTTGATAAACACTAACAAACTTGCATTCCTGAGTAAGATTTCAGCTGCAGGACAAATTTTGATATAGCATGTCAAGTTGACTATTTACATGATGATGTCAAGTTCACCCATTTATTTCATGTCTCCACGTAGCTTGAATTGGGGAAACACACTGTTATGAAATAACAATATCAATAAGAAAACTTGAAAGATTCAGTTACTTTAAATCATATGATATGATCATACACTTGCCTGTACATTGAACTCTGTTGTGTTTAAGTTGTCACCGATTACTGTTCCTGAAAACTATTATGGTGACACTCTATCTCTCTTGAACTTTCTGTTAAGTAAAACCTCCAGGTCAAATTGTAAGTCTTATTGGGTTAAAAATTATTAGTAATGTTAATATAATGTTACTTCAGAGTCCTACTCAACATATGATTCATTAAAGTATTGATTTTGTTCTGATCTTGTTATGCACATATCTTTTTTCCCTAAATTGTTCCATTTGCAACCCCATATCCACCTACCTCAACTAAATTTTTTTTCTGTGTTCTTTATTGAAAATACAGTCCCACAAAACCCATATACAGTAATTAAAACCTCAACCAAATGGAACTACAACTTTGTTCCCTAATAGACAATAGAAACCTACGCTCAGCATTGTGTTACTTTGCCTGTATTAATTGTCCAAAATTAGTCGTATGTTCAGACCAAATCAAGCTCCCAATGGCTTCTAGTGTAGATTATATCATTTCCTGTTTCTCCCGGCCCTTCTGGAAAGTTTTGTTCTCATGTATTGGTACACAAAATGCCAAAAAATAATATTCATATGAAATGCTTCACTAAAGTTAATTTCACATCACTTGCCTTGAAAAAACAATCAACCTAAAAACTTCAGAACTCACTTTCACTTCATTGTATGGACAAAATCATGACTGAATCTATCAGGCCACTATGGGAGATATTGCTGAGGTCTTTTTTAGTTCCTAAGATCCTCAGGTTACATGTGCAACCTTTGTTGTCAAAATGTGACCTCCTTATAAAAATTTGGCCATTAACCTTCACTTTGAAAGTGAGCATTTCAGAACTATTGTGTGCTAGTTATCTTGTGTTATCGATGAACAGGAACAATGTTGAAACTATCTAACTGTAATCAGGTATTAGCTCTTCCAGTAGAAACTCAGTAAGACACCGGTATCAGACATTAAAAAGCAGCTCAATTTCGTAGGCCATACATGTATGCATTGCAGACCTACTTTTTTAATGTGGTTTAATTTTGAAATGATATAGCTTTACATGTTTGCAGAAACTCAGCCCCTTAAGTTTCTCATACAGTTTTATCAAATAACTAACTTATTAATTTTTAACCCTATACACTTCAACAGTATCCAGATTCTAGATAATTGCGACTTTATCTCTGAAAAAAAGGTGGCAGTAAGCATTATTATAGCCTATGAGCTATAATGAGGTTGTTGTTTGGTCTCGTCACGCAACGTTGGAGAGAAAGCGTTGTGTGACGAGTTAAAAANTAACGATATTGGATCTTGAGAGTCAAAGCATCAACCTTTAATAATAATAATAATAATAATAATAATAATAATAACTTTTATTTCTATAGCACTCTTATCCTATATTCAAGGTGCTTTACAACACTGCACAGGGAACTTTGCCAGACTGCCAGTAGCAGTTTACAATCAACAAAGGCGAATTTGTTTACAGATGCCCCCTCCCCCAATTCCCAGTAAACAGGCCAGACCACAGCACAGTAATCTCATGATATGGGTTCCTTAACATCCCCTGCCTAATCAAATTATCTAATTAATAGATACAGGAGACGGGACCTATGACTTGTTCATCCTTATCTGAGAAGACAAGAATATGTATCAATTTCTTGATATAATTCATAGAAAGGTAGCACATTCTCCTCAGTTATTTTAAGACCATGAGTGTTGGTCCGCCGCCGGGGCTTGAACCATCAACCTCCTTTAACTCTCACGAGTGACCAAGAAAGAATTTCTCCTCATTTCTCCATCAATAAAAAATCAAAAAGAAAAGTGATGAGAATAAATAAGGATATTCATTGGTGGATTACCAGTAAGTTGATGCAACACCAAATTCTCACCACTATAACATCAATTGAATTGTAGGAAAGGACCTCTTTTGAATTGTCATTGCCTATTGTTGTGAAGAGTAGCCTACCAAATGCCAAGGAGGGGGGGATGGGTGAGGCAGCTTCTGATAGCCTAAGGGAAGAGGACTTAGGTCATTTGTGATGGCCTTCCATTCCATCCAGAGAAAATCAAATTCCTAGCTGCCATGGATAAGTAGCAGTAAAACAAGCAAAGTTATTCTTATGAAAACTCTACCTGCCCCAGGAATTATTGTAGCCAAACGAGTTTCTGTCAGCCCAACTTTAGTGTTACTTGCAGCAACCCTAAAGTCACATGACAGGGCCATTTCAAGCCCACCACCTAGGGCGTGGCCATCTAAAGCAGCAATCGTAGGCATTGGTAGGTTGTGTAGTTCCATTATTACTGCCCAAGCCATGGATACAAATGGTCCAACCTCATGCATTGCCATTTTGGCTCTCTCTTTGAGATCAGCTCCTGCACAAAAAATACCTGGGAGTGACAAAAGACAGGAAAACCTGAGTAATACCAACTGTAATAAGGGTTCTACTACAAAAAAAAAACAAGCATGAAATCTTTTTAGGTCTAGAATTCTACTAGTTGACAAAGCACGGGTCTACTTGTGTTCTTATCCAACACTGTCTTTCTCCAATCACGGGGATAAATAGTGCTCACAAATTAATTGCAAGGAAAACTTGACAAACTTGAGTTGCCAGGGATGACCTGGCATCTCTTTTGGAAGATACCATGATATCCTACCTGCAGCTGCCTTCTATCTAAGTATGCAACAATCACCAGGAACTCCTTCCAGGAACTCCTTTCTAAATCCCACAGGGATCAACGAACGCTTTTCATTCCACTAATTTATTCGTGTTTTTGTCGAAGGGTTG